CGATAGGGTTCATGGGGTCATGAAGAGTCGGACCTAACTTAACGACTGAACAACAACAACTCATGGATAGCAAGCTACAGTTTAGCTGTTCTATACAAGATAAGGTTACATTGGTGCAAAGAAGCAATAGAGCAAGAATGGGTGTTCCCTTTAGTGTGATATCTTGAAAATACAGGGGTTTTTTTAACATGGCAAGAAGAGCTCTCAAGCCCTTCTCACTTACAGTACGAAATCCCTCTGAAGTGGCCAACAGCAACACGGGCGGGGGGGGGGGGGGGGGGCAGAGACATTGGGGAAAACACCCTGAATCATAACAGCTGTTTAGAATGGTACAATGGATTCCAAGGCCCTATCCTGGCCTAGGAGAAATAACAAGTTCAATTGCTTTGTCCAACCCTAGAATGGGTATGCACAATATTTTTGCAACTAGAAAGTCACACTTTTTAAAAATGCTTTCGACCTCTGAGAACTGCCAAAGGTGTGGCTAGTGACGACATGACCTAACTGGAGTGGCTGAGATTAACATTTTTAGCCTGGGGAAGGTTAGGAATTTGGGGGAGTTATACAAGATGTAATGGGTGCCTTAAGTACTTATTTTGTCTTTAAAATTCTCTCCAAACGGAGAAAACCAGCCTACTCTTAGGAGAGTTAAGAGATTTTTTTAAAGGTAAACTGGATGATTTAAGCACAAGGCATACATGTAGCAAGCCAATGAAAAGAGCTTGAAGAAGGCAGCCAGAAGCCATTAGGACAACAGGTGCAGAAGAAGCATGCATTAAGCCCAGGGCAGAAGAATATAAGAGACTCAGACTGACCCACCCTGACTCCCTGGGGTGTAACAGGGAGGGAAGGGAAAACACAGGTAGACTTGCATGATTCTATTATTATAGCCTATATCAATAAAGTATGGTTCTAGTCTTCCAGTAGAATCAGGAAATGCCTGTGGAGTCAGCTTCTTGTTCTACCTCATAGGACTGACAATAAGGTATGATTTCACTTCTTAACCCCTAAAACACTGGAGCAAAAAGTTTGATCCCAGCCACAGTAGGGTGCTAACAAAATCATATGCAACTTGCCTACCATAAACGTACATGCAAAAAGAACCTTTGTAGGTGGATGTGCCATGGCCATCCCAGTTCAATCTCCCAACATAGGCCAGGGAGGTAGAAAGAGTGGAACAGATTGAGTATCTACTGAAAAGGCTTTCTGGCTTCTACTTTTTCTCTCAAAGATATTTTTTAAAAGTACAGAATTCATCCCCCATTTCAAACAGGAACTTGGAAGTTAATAGGAATTTTCAGGAATAGTGAATCCCTGATGGTGGGACTAGTAGATTACTTATAAATGACACTTAAGCCATGTCTGAAGTTATAACTTAAACTAAAGTATATAAAGGAAATACTTAAGAAAAACAGATCTACTCTAACCCCACTGGGATATGCACAAGCAGGACATAAAGACAGCAGCATTTCCCCAATGTGGTTTCCCAGCAACCATATTTCAAAAAAACATATTTAAAAAAAAAACTCGATAGGCTGAAAGGGCTCATAATGAAATAAATGCAAATTGGAAAAAGATAGGAAAGTGATTATGCAATTTGATTTGGTCAAGCTCTCTGGTCGAATGCAATTATGGTAAAATACTTACTGCATAAACAGATATGCATCCTTCCCAGAACACTTTCCAGCTTATTTATTATCATTTACTATAGAAAATATATAAATAGGAAACCAGTTACCTCCTTTCCTCTTGTATCTTCTGATAATGAAGTAGGAAACAATATACAGTATCGCAAACAAAAGAAAACAGATCTGAAAGAGAAAGTTTCATAGTTGAAGCAACAATTTAATTTCTGAAAATATTAAAATGGAACAAATTATAATACAAATAAAAAAGCCTACTGTAGACCACATAATCAAAATGAAAAGTTTGCTTTATTATTGCTATTTCTACAGCTCTTCTTAGTACTTCTCTTAGTAACGTACTATTTCACATGGGAAAAAGACATCAAAATAATCCATGCCAAAAGCATTGGAACTGAAGTTTATCACAAGTTGAATATGAATCAGCAATATGATATGGCTGCCAAAAACATAAAAGTAATATTATGCTGCATCAATAGAGGTATAAGTTAAGAATCATGCAAAGTAAGACTTCTACTATATTCTACACTGGTCAGATCTCACCTCAAGTAATGGACCTATTTCTGGACACCTCACTTTAAGAAGAAGTCAATCAAACTGAAAGAGATGCAAATTAAAAAAAACCTCAGAAACGATAATCAAAGGAGTGAAAACGTAAGACCTATGAGAAGAAACTGAGAGAACTGATCATAATTAGCCTTGAGGAAAAATTATGGGGGGAGAGGGGAGGGGATATGAAAGCACCTTTCAAGTATCTGACATGGTATCACAACAGAAGCAATTTGTTCCAATTATTCCAGAGTCAAGGACATGAAATAATGGTCTTCAGTTATAGAAAGACAGTTTCGATTCTTATCCTATCCTTATCCTAACAATAACTATCCTTATTGACTGCCTATGTTTATTTATTTGTTTTATTGGCTTTACGCTACCAGATTCCCAAATGACTCTTTTGGGATAAACCTTATCTTACTAATGTTTTAATTTGTATTTCCGCATTGACCAAGTCATTGAATATAACCTAAGTGGCCCTTTCTAACATTATGAATCTATAATTCTACCCAAGTATTAAGAGCTATAGTACTAATAGGGCAGTGATATAATGAAGGAGTAAATAAAGCAATGTTTTCTGTCTTTGACTTTACAACCAAATAAGGATGCCCTATGTCAGGGCTTCCCAGAAAAACCTAACTCTTTCCTCAAGCAAAAGTTATGAAAATGTCTTTAAAGATTATGTCCCTTGTTAATTTATACTCAAAAATAGCATTTTTATGTAACATAGGTGGAAACTACAGTTATGGTCTTCTAACAACTTTCTGAATTAACACTGGCTTGTCAAGTTCAGCTTGACTAGAAACAGTATTACATTTAATTCTGGAACTATTTTTTTCAATGTACACCAACAAATGTACTCCTGCATTCCAAATTAAATTAATATGATTTAATATAAATATGCTTGTCTTTTCTGTAGACTATCCTGGTCCTTCTTGATTTCTCAGCAGCTTTCAGTACTATCAAACATGGTGTCCTTCTGGACCAGCTATAAGGGAGGTGGGGCTGGGGACACGGTATTGCAGTGCTTCTCCTGTTATCTCCGTGGTTCAGTTCCACTCAGTGTTGGTAGCAGAGAGAGAGTAAATCTAAGGCTCTTACCACTCCTATTTAACATTTTGATTAAGTTATTCATCAGCACAGAGTCTAGTATCATCAACTACTGATGATACCCAGTTATACATCTTAACCTCAAACTGGCAAATGATGCTGTCAAGGTCCTGTAATATCATTTGAAGGCTGTTGGGGTCTGAAGTTTGAGTGGCTGCAGGTGCATGGACTACCCAATTCCAGGGAACTTCCAACTTAATCTTGGATGGGGTAGCATCCCTCCAGACTTGGTGGGCAATTTGGAGGTCTACTGGACAGATTTGAAGAGCAGGTGGCAGCTGGGGACAAAAGAATCTTTACCCACATTTATGTTGTAAGACTCATTCTTGGATTGGGAGGCCTTTCTCTCAATCACTGACACTTTAGTCATCTCATTGCTAAATTACTTTACCTGGGGCTGCCCTCAAAAGCTACAAGCAGTCCAGAATGCAGCAATATCAGTTGTTATAGACACATCTCAGTACAACTATGTAACACCACTATTTTGCAAGACTCCCCAATTGTTTCTGCCCATCCTGTAAGATCAGATAGAGTTATCATGCTCTTTGTTGTTGTTTAGTCTTTAAGTCGTGTCCGACTCTTCGTGACCCCATGAACCATATCGCGCCAGGCCTTCTCACTGCCTCCCTGAGTTTGCTCAGTTTCCTGTCAGTTAAGCAATGCCATCCTATTGGACCCAGAAGGCATGCCTTGTCTGTTACTAAGCCTGCCTTTTACAGTAGTACCCTCCCACCCAAGATCCATATGGTGCAAACTCTGTTGGCTTTTAAGAAGACCTGGGTCTTCTCATAGGCTCTGGGCTAGGATGGGATATGGCCCTGCTTATCATCAGATATATATGGTGTTTTAGATTGACCTTCCTCCTCAGCATGGTCACTTTTTAATGTAATGCTTGTTTTTTATTCCTTTTAATTCAGTAAGCCACCCAGAGTTATTTGGCAAGTGGGCAGCCTTAGAAATCAATCAATCAATCAATCGTTAAAATGCAGTAACTGAGCTAGACAAACTTCAGTAATTTCAATTCTGAGTGTGACTTTTCTTTGTTCTTCCATTTCACATGCATTTCCTTTTATATATGGATATTTGATGGTATTATTTTAAAAGCGAATTTCTCATTAATGCCTTTCATGCTGGCTGAGAACTGTAGTTTCAAAACATCTGAAAGGTATCAGGTTCAGAAAGGCTACCTATATATTCTAGCTTTCTCATATGAAGCTTTAAGGCAACTGCACGTTGATATGATAAGAAATATGCATTATTTAAAAATGCACAAGACTTTCAAATTGCTAAAGAGATTTGGTCCATCTGTTTCATTAATCACTTAACATCTAATTATCTAAGAACCAGTTCTATATTTGAAATTTATAATTCCATTAAAAGATGTATGAGATGGTTCTCTGGATATATTTTCCTATTTATTTTTATTTTTATTTATTAATCACATTTATATGGCCGCCCATCTCACAAGAAGTGACTCTGGGTGGCGTACAAAAATCAATAAAACAACAAATATATAAAAAACAATCATTATAAAAATATAAAAAGTCAGCATTAAAAATGAAAAAATTATTAAAAAATTAAAATATACAAACCACCCAGAGAGAGTAAAAAGATCAACCACAATGGAGCACTTTACTGCATGTTTTGCAGATAAGAACATGCTAACAGTTGTTTGATATTAACCCAGATTTTAAGTTAGACTGACTCATCCATCATGCAGAATACAACAGCAGAAAGGGTCTGGACGAGGCAAGGTATGTGAATCTAAACAAAGAACAAGGTGTGATGACAAATGCATGAGAAGATACATACATAATTGCCTTTTAATTGATTTTAAATTTGAAATTCTTAGCATTTGAATTTGGAGTATTAAGGACAACAGAAAAAAACAGTTAAATTCAGATTAATTCATAGAAGAGAACCACTAGGTATTATTAACTTACACCTCAATTTGAATAAATCTAGTCTGCTACAAATTTGAAATAAATCAAATATTAATTAAAAAATGAATGCAACAGAACTGCATCAATCCTGCCAATGGGATTTATGACATGGCAAAACGACAGTCCACCACAAGGCCTGCTGTGCTGCCTCACGATCCCCAGGGGTCCTGGGATGCATGCATGCCAACAGTATATAAACTCAGCAGAGTCACCTAAGCATGAAGTCATACTCTCTGCCCAGCTAAAACAAAGAGGCTCCAACACTGGACAGCAGCAATATAGGAAGAATGTCCAAGGAGAACATCAGGAATCGCTTTGAAGATCTGAATCTCATGAACAGGGGACTAGAGGAACTGTGGAATGAAATCAAAGTTGCTAAGGATGGATCTGAAGAGAGATTGCCAAAGACCAAGAAAGAGAAAGCAAACCGGATGTCAGAACAAGAGTGGAAATTGCTGAGAAGAGAAGCAAAAACCAGGAAAAATAAATATCTCAGGAAGGAACTTAACACAGAATTTTAGACAGCTGTAAAGTCACTGAAGATGGAAATAGACATTAAAAACAAGGAAAGTCTTCCAAATGATCTCCAAATTCAGAAAGAGGTTCCAACCTCAAATTGTTATACTAAAGGATACCAATGGACAGACAGTAACTGATTCTAAGACAATTCAACAAAGATAGAAACAGTACAGATGGTCCTTGACTTATGACGGCAATTGGGACCGGAATTTCCATCACTAAGCTATGCAGTCGTAAAGTGTGACCACATCACTTAACGACAGCAATTCCTGCAGTCCTAGTTGCCATTAAGTTGTTAACTGAATCTCACCATCATTAGGCAAGGCAACCTCCTGCAAGCTTCCCACAACCAAAGTTAGTGGAGAAGCCGGCAGGAAGTTGCAAGTCCCAGGCCTGCAGGCAAGTAAGTGGCTGCTGCCCGGAGGGGATGGGCAGGGTGTGGGGGAGGGTCAGGGAGGGTACGCAAGAGTCACTGCACAGGTCAGGGAAGCTGCGTGAGGGGAAGGTGTGCAAGAGGCACCACACAGGTTGGGGAGGGTGCGCGGGTGGTGCACGAGTGGCCAGCATGGTGCAAGTGCAGAGGGGCTGGAGGAGGATGTGCAGGTAGGTGAGACTTACCCCAGCGACTTACAATCTTCCCTGCCAGCTTCCCCTTTGACTTTCTGGGGAAGCCAGCATGGAAGGTTGCAAATGGTGATCACATGACTGCCAGGGTGCTGGGACGGCTGAAACTACAAGGACCGGTCGTAAGTCTCCTTTTTCAACACCATCGTAACTTTGAACTGAACAAATGGTCGTAAGTTGAAGACTACCTGAATACTGAAATTTTATACAGCAGATATGTCAACTTCAGTACTCCAATCATTACCAAGTTGGAAAGCTATAGAAATTGATGGAATATCTACAGAAATATGGCAAGCAGCTATACCAGCAAATTTGGAGAATGATACAGTGCCCAACACATTGGAAGAGATCAGCCTACATACTAGCACCAAAGAAAGAAGACTCAACAGAGTATGCAAACGATCATACAATATCCTTAATTTCACATGCTAGCAAAATAATGCCTTGGATCAACTAACACATTAGAGCTTTATATGGAAAGGACGATGCCAGATGTTCAAGCTGGCTTTAGAAAAGGCCAAAGAACAAAAGACATTATTGCTGATGCACAATGGATAATTGAGAAAGCCAAAGAATACCCAAAAGAAGTGAATATGTGCTTCACTGATTATGAAAAGGCTTTTGATTGCATCAACCATGTCAAGCCATAGAATGTGGGAATCCCAGACCATCTTCCTTATGCAAAACCTATACAAAGAACAGGAAGCCACAGTATGATCAGAACATGGTGAAACAGACTGGCTCCATCTTGGCTAAGGAGTGAGACATGACTGTATACTCTCCCCATATTTATTCAATTTATATGCAGAATATATTGAGGGAAGCTGGACTGGAACAAGATGACTGTGCTTTTAAAATTGGAGGAACAAACGTGAATAATCTCTGCTACACTGATGATGCTACCCCGATAACTGAAAATGCAAATGATCTGTAACCTCTAGTAATGAAAGTCAAGGAGGTAATGAAAAAAATGGGACAATGGGCAATTAAATAAAAAGAAGACCAAACTAATACCAACAGGTACAGCAACCAGCCTTAGAATTGACAGTGAAGATATTAAAATGATGGATAGTTTTGCCTTTTAGAATTGACTTGCAATAGTAAAGGAACCAGCCGTCAAGAAATATACTGCAGACTAGCACTGGATAGAGTAGCCACAATGCCTTGGAAAAGATAATCAGATGTGGGATGAGTCTATACCTACATAGATCAAAATCATGCAGGGAACGGTTTCTCTTGTGACACTGTATGGAAGTGAAAGTTAGACTTTAAAGAAGCAAGATACAAACAGTACTGACACAGAATTTTGGTTTTGGAGAAGGCTCCTGAGAACATTACGGATAACTAAGAAAACAAATGGATCATTGAACAAATCAACCCAGAGTTCTCATTCAAGGCACAAATGACCATGCTCAAGTTACCATACTTAGGACATATTACACAAACACCTAGCTCTGGAGAAGTCTATAATGCTAAGTAGAAGGAGAGAGAAGAAGAGAATGACCAACAGCAAGGTGGATGGACTCATGTTCAGCAGCGATGGGTACACTGTTGGAAGAACCAGGTTGGAGACAGATCATCCTGGAGAAAATGATAACAGGTATCGCATAAGAATACATTAAAAGGAACTAAGTAATAGGAGAGGAAGCACAGCCTACTAAATATAAAACCAGAGTGACTTTAGACATTTATGTAAATAAAAAGCAGAAGTACCATTTGCTCAAAATTCCATTTTTATTGCTCACTTAGTGTTTCACCTAATGGGGAGATGCATAGCTCCAGCTGAATTCAGGCTATGCAAACGTGTCCATTGAGAAGCAATACATATTCTCCCTTTTACAAGATATGGCAAAAAATGACAGCATGAATTAGACAAATCTCAAATAGCTGTTTAAAAGATTATGTAATCCAGTATGTATGCATTGTGAAACAATGCAAAGTCGGATGACACAAACCAGTCAGAGTAATTCACTATAACATTATCTGACATTATGTAGCAGGAGGAACAGTAGAAAATGAAGTCTCAAAATGCACAGGAATTAGGGCACTGGTTGATTTAGGGCATATGATATCATACTATCAGGGAGATGGACAAATTATGTACATTTGGACTTGACTGTCACACCATTAAAAGAAAACCAGTGTCGTATACAGGTAGTCCTCGTTGAATGACCACTCATTCAGCAACTGTTCAAAGTTACAACAGTCGTGAACAAGGGGGACTTACGATGGGTCCTCATAGTTGTGGCCGTCATAGCATCCCCACAATCACATGATTGTGATT